CCAATTCAGATATAGTTATTACAGTTATAAATCACAATTTACTTAATGTATTTAGTATTCAATATTAAGCTGATGGTTTATCTGACATTTCTTTTAAGTGGCATATACCTGGTGGCCTCACCTGGCCACAGATACACAGCCACAACATGCTGGGCTCACCCAGTATCTATGTTGATCAGGATTTTCAGTCATTTTAAATGTCTAGAAATAAACATGCAGAGTAGCCCCTAAGATTGCCAAAGTTTATAGATGTAAGTCTGGTACCTGTTATTGATTGTTTAGTTATAAGAGATAATTTTTTACAATACAAAAAATTGTACCTTACTTGAGCGTTGGTGTTATTTGTATAAACTAGAAATTTATTTTTGAAACCACAAAATATCGTTATAGCGAGATGATACATTTTGTACGTGGTGCACTTCATCGAGATCCCAAGTAAATCATGTACACTTTGAAAATATCGGGTTATCAACAGTGCAATCAGGAGTTAAAAACGAAATGTCAAAAGCTGTCAAACGTTTTTATTAATTTATCTTCGTTTTATTGAATTGGGGGTTACACAAATTTAACAATTTATCAATATGCTCGTTACGTAGTGAGGATGGATACTTCCATTCAATATGGATAAAAGTTCAAAAATGATAAGTTGAAAAAGACTTCAACGTGTTGGTACATCGCAGGACGAAGTTAATGCATGAAGTACTCCAGAAAATCGTACACAGTGTTAGTAGAATTAATAGATTAATTCTAATAGTTAGATTCAAATTCTTCACCAGTTACCAGCGTTCCAAGTAGTATCTAAGAATCTATTAAAAATTAACTGTTAGCAGTTCGCGGTATGTACAGAAAAATGTGCGATAAATTATCTGATCTACCCATATATTAACGGGGGGGGGGGGGGGGGGGGGGGGGGGGGGGGGTTGAGGGTAGACACAACACTCCATCAAAATGAAATCAATATCTAATTCTTCATTCGGATATCTTTAGCAAAAAGTATATCAAATGAAATTTCAATTATTTAATATTTAATATACTGGTGTTTGAACAATATCATGTAACTTTGTTTTAATGTTTCAGATAGTCCCCGATTACTTGTAAAACCGTTGGATTGAATTGGCTCAGGAACTCCTACTTGTGTTAAAAAAAGATGCCGACAAGCAGACCGCAACAACAACATCACTTGTGCAGGAAATCATGGCTTCTTCCTTCCTCCCTCCACAGGTCCTCAGTCAGACAGAGATTTTAATAAGACATTCTGGCGCACGCTATCCCTGTTAAATATTTCCACGTCATCATGAACAGCAATAGGTCCATGTTTACAGGACGTATATGGTTTGTGTCTGCCCGCTGTAAATAGCAATCGGCCAACCTTGAATAATTCTTAACATTGATCGAGCCACTAGTTCTATCTGCAACATGCCAATGTTTGAGCAATGGTATTGATGATGGATTGTTTAAAGCTTTGTCATGGGAAGTCTCTCTTTAAATTGTGAAATATATTAAAGGGTATTTCATGAAAAAATATGTTCAAAAGATAGAGAAATATAAACAGAGGACAAAATTACAAAAATAACCGCATGTCTGATTCACAAAGGTGTTTCTGACGCACTATATAAAAAATGTCATCACCACGATAACTAAGATTTATTAATTGTCACGTCGTTCCGCGTTTTCTTCCGTCGTCTTCCACTTATCTTACTGTAATACATGGTCGTCATAGGTATGTATACACAGCATAAAGAAGTTATCATTCCGTCAGACGGAAAATATCTAACCATCTGATTACCGTTAGCCGTTGTAAATTATTAAAAAAGAATAAAACCATAGGTTGTTCCATAATGGTACTAAAAGACCATCAATTGAATGTTGTCATTATATGTGTACCTTAATAAAAAAAAAAAAACATGTAAATTATGTTGTAGAGACATAACTGAAATTGATCTCGGAGGGTGGGGGGGGATAATCTAGTTCAATTGCATTTTTACCCCCAATAACGTAAGAATAATCCTGAAGTAAGATAGTATTCTTATGATAAGCCGGGTTTCCAGTAAAGGCATATTTTCACCGAAACGACACATATTAACTTAGATGCTCATGATTTTTTGAAAATGTTCCTTCATATATCAGCGTTCAATATTTCCATTAAAGTTTCCAGATTAACGTCACATATTCAGAAAAAAATTGCGCCGACACATTTCCATGAGTAGTATTACCGCTGCTTTAAAATGTGAGAGCTCTTCTGTCCCTTTGGACTCCTCAATACCTGTCATATTCTAATTCATTAGTACAAATTCACGTCCCGAGTTACAACATACTTGTAAGATAAGAAGTCTAAACCCATGATATTCGATATTGTACGAGATGTTGAAACATAGAGAGCAGTAAAATTGATGTTTAGTGGAAATTCGCTGAATTTGCATTTTAGTTTGATTTTACATGCTAGTGTTAAGAATTTCAGTGTATTACATTACATATCACAAAATACGTTAAAAGATTGAAAATAAATTATCTGACATGTCAGTTAGCCGGTGCGGACTACACATGGCCGCTGTAAGCAATGCGACGTCATTTGAATGCTGACATTGCAAAAATGTATTTTTCAATTGAAAACATAATTGAAACGCAGACTCGAGAGCAGCATCAACACAAATGCATTGAAATATCGGACCCAACAGTCTGTTCTATATCTGCCGCTTTGATTATGTGGCCTGAGACAGAAGTATGCGACTGATGAAGAAGGGTTATTCGCTTCCTTGATTTTCAATATGGGGTATAATCGATGGAGTTAACCATTAAATAACTTCAGGTATTTAAAAAAAGGAAGAAAAAATGAATATCTGACACACATGATTGGCACACATCGCCTCTACATCTGCCGCCATAGTAACTGTAATATTTGGTAATTTGTAATAAACAGTTAAAGTACCATGATTAAGCAAGCTCATTTTCTATTAAAATTAGCATGACGTCATGGAATAAATTAAAATGAGCCAAAAATAGTATTATTATCTAAACCGTGACTCGTAAAACCCTCGTACTGGACAAACTAACGTTTATCTTTTTGGATAATATTATCTGTCAACATCGTTCAGAACTGATTTAATCATAGTCAAATGTTCGGTTCCATTTTTCAATAAGACGCCCCCACTTTTTCATTTTCTTCTGTCATAGATATAAATATGCCGTATAACAAATAAAATATGTTTTTCCAAAGCTCGCTGATGGAGTATGTCTGTCAGATAAGTGATCTCTATTGATCGAGATGCAAAATAATTATGACGTAAAGTACCAGTTGTTAAAACAAGCATGAAATCCAATGGGGTTGTTTGACAAGCTAGAAATAAACGTATTGAAAACGAAAGGGTTATTCATGGTTTCTGTCTCTCGACAGTGCTGACAATTATAGGATGATGATAAAATGTTTTTTAAAAAGTGATTAATTTTAATCCACCATTATAAATATCACATACACGAAGACAATTTTCAATAGAATTTTAATATAATGCATTTCACAATTATTCGTCCTGTTACGGTACGCGTATTTAAACATTTTTCACCAATGACAGACTCTTCGTTTGATACTTAATAAAAACATAAGCAGCATAAAGGTATATTTTTATTTAACAACAATACAAATATGTTATTCATTATCTACATAAAGCTTCACATAGGAAATCAAGTTTAAGAAACATAGTAATTGTGTTTTTAAAGATTTTTCTTAAAGACTTGAGAACCCTGTCGTGTTGAAGATACGAAATTTCATCAGCATTGTTAAAACTGAATATTTCTTAACTGATTCAATGTTCAGGAATCCCGGAATATTCCCTAATAGGGAGGTAAAGAAAGTTTAGAAGTTCTAATAATCAGTAACAACATACTAGGCATCTGTGAATCTGAGAATTATATGTGACCAAAGCGAATATATAACTATAAATAAAGATATCATTGTACCTTCTACAATCATACAAGATTTTTCAATTAATTGTGATAACACATCGATATTGCTACTTTCTTTCATACATGTGAAATGTAATATTTGAAAGGAATAAAAAAGTTTTACACATTTCATCAGGAGAAAAAGCTAGCTTGAACCAGTCATAAGTGGAATCTTTTTATGTCAAAATGTTTGTTGACATTACGCTAGCCAATAACACAGTACCATTTTGAAACGCCTCTTCAGCCTTTAACCTTTATTCTTCAGTACACGTAGTTTAAACAACTGTTATCAAATATGAACTGAGATTTTACATCTTAATGTGAGCTGTACAGATATATAAAAAAAAACATTAACTCAATCCTCTTAGATGTAGTAAAGAAAAACATGTTCTGATTGTTTGTAAGAGGACTAGAAAGAATGTAATACTTCATCGCAACATTTTCACATGACAACAACCACTATGATGCGTCGTTGAAGCGAGTTAAAGAATAGCTTTTACAGCACTAATGGTTATGGACAAGTAAATTATTTCAACCCGCTTTATAATCACTTGAATAAAGTATGACACACAGATCAACTGAAGCATGCATATTAAATATTCAACTCCAGAAGCAAATAAAGTATTGCAATGGATTCATATCGTTCTAGCGTTAGAACATTGATAATTCGATATATAACGAAATCTTCAAAATCGTCTTACATGCATGACTATTTGCTAAAATTGCATTTAATATTCACCGATTGTTAAGGAAGAGAAATAACGACGATAGGGTATTTAACATGTGGACGTCACATATGCTACGCATCTGCAATCCTATATACAGGAAACACATCAGGCACGAAAACTAACAAAAACGGACAAGTGGCCATCGGCATCTTTCTTCGACGATAGGAAATATATCAGTCAAATTCTAAAAAATTGAAGAAGCTCCATTAAAACGAATAATGCCCTGCTGATGGTTTGTATGTACATTTCCTTCAAACTATTTCTATCTTTGCAAGATAAATTTTAATCACATTCATGTGACAATGATTTTGCGCTGAAAAGCTGTGTAAGGATATATTACGCTACTTTACACCGACAGAACATGGCATGCTGATTCTCATCCGTCCAAGTATCTGTTAGAAGAAGCCCTGCCCTTGCTGTCAGGTTCCATATCTGTTCTTTGGTGTATTTACAGCTAACACCGGCACCTTCATGTAAATACAGGTTTTCACCTTTCTCGAATTCGATATCGATATTTAGACCAGCTGTAAATATGAAATACAATTATTACATACAGGGAAAAAAAACATGCATATAATGTCATAACAGAAGATTTCAAAACTCAATTGACAAAGTACTGCTCAAAATATGTAATTTTTTTGAGAGAAGAAAGGACAACAGCAACTATGTTTTCATCAGGAAAAAAAAACATTTAAATATCATTATTGATTCTTCATAAAATAATTCATTTTCAGGATAATCGATTTTCGAAGTGGATCCGGTAATATAGCGATGTTCTAAAGTTATCTATCAGTAAAGAGATCATAGAGTGAATCCTGCAACAATAAAAATGTAACGCGAAGAATTCGAAAAAATAAATTGCTTTACAAATTTTTATTTGATTTGTTTTCTTTATTTTTATGTTTAAATCACTTTATATTTGGGAAAGACAGAGCGTATTCACACCCCTTATTTAGTTAAAGACCATGCACCTTTTTATTTCCAGAATGTTTCGACTTTAAGTTTTTTTTCTCTCGCACATGCCGCTGTGAAAGTACTATTGCATTATACAGTAAAGACTGAGAAAATGTTCTCCTGGCATTCTTCCTAATAAAGATTTATAGATAGAAAATCTTCTCACGTATTGAATAAAATAGGTGTTCCTTTGCTTGCATGTACGCTCTGAAGTAGCTCATGTGTTCTGGAGAAGAATCCTCAATGAAATCTGCTTTGTATTGAAATTTATCTAAACGTATGTGGCTGTGTTCCTCGTTGTTTAATCTGATAATTCCATTTTGAAAGAACTTCATTTCAAGGCCTGTAAAGGTAGATGTGATACAAAGTGAGCAGCTTGGTTCTAATATATATAAAATATAATATAAAAACAGTGAGTGTAATACATTATATAATATGATATCTAGTATATTAGCAGTTAAACAGAAATGCAGTATATAATCTGCGAAATGATGAGAAATATAAATACATGCAAAACATATATAAAAAACGAGTTTCACTGTAATATGGAACTAGTTAAACGAGCTACATGAGTTTATAAGTCATGAACTTTAGGAAAGTGTGATATCAGATAACAATTTTGAAGAATTCCATATAACGTCGACATGTGTAAAACACTGTGTAGCATAATTCATATTTCCGAAAATAAGCGAAAGCTCCGCAGTTAGTTCACTTACAGGAAAGACTTATTTCGACTAAGCTGATGTAGTATTCACTACTCAAGTAAGCATGCGACTTCATCAAGAGGTTATAGTTACAAAAGTGTTGTTACATATGTGTCTTAAGATATTATGAATTGACAAATCTGGTCAGTTATGTTATAAATCTGCAATATACCTCTATTTTTTTAGTAGGTCTCTATAATATTATGTGTCGTTATTCAAACCAAATCCCTTTTATTACATTTAACTAAGCACAAATAAGATACAATTGTTTCGAAAAGTACAAAGAAAGTAAGATCCTAAAGGTGAACGTCTTCTATTTCATAGATGACACCTGCCATATAAGTCTTGACCATTATAAGCACAAACAAGGTATACAACAATGAAACCACCAGGAATGCTAACGAGCATCACATCTAGTTTCATATTACTGAAGGAAATATGATATTCCCCAATGATATCATTGGCGACAACAATAAAATCCCAAATTGATTTTATGAGCCTGTATGCCTCAAAAATCTGTGTTTTAAGGTCATTTGCCAATTGCTGACATCACGCACGGAAGTTGTGCTATTGGGAACTAGCCGTTAAAGGCCCAGTCTACAATAAGATGTTACAATGGTAGGTTTTGGAAGTAGGCAGGTTGCTACCTAGAAAGACTTTAAATGCACATTACTGCATTGGATTATATTTTTCTTAAACAAATAAGTACAAATCCTTGACAAGAAAATTCATAAACCATCATCATGTTGTTATTTTTTTCATTTCTTAAATTTTATAACACTTACCTGCCTCATCGTTGTATGCTTTCAACACTGCTTTTTTGTCCTGTGTTATGTCAACGCTAAATACTAGGTGACATCTATCTGTAAGAATTCAAATAAAATATGCGGAATTCCTCAGTCAAACAAATCTTGGATTATGGAAATCGATTGATGATAATCAATACTAACGAAAGGATGTATGTAATGCTCTATATTTTGCATCTTTCAATAGAAATTTCGAATTAGATACAGATTATGGTAAATACCCTGTACTATTGTGACAAATTCAACTGCATAATACAGCTTTTGTATCCTTCAAGGACTCGTCAGTGATGCGAAGGGTGTAAATCGAAATTAATTAGTTAATATCAATACAGAATGTCATTAGATAGCTTTACAGAATGAGATTATCATCGCTTGTTTTAGAAGATATCTGTAATGTCGTAGTGTTTAGAATGAGATCAGGCCAGTTGTATATCATATCATGTAACTGCTTTCACCATAACTACACTAAATTTTCAATTCACTGTGGACACCAATGTAAACAATGAATCAAGACCAGGTGTTTCTTAGGGATAGGAATGTCTTTCTTCAAATGGTGGCACGGTTCTGAACACTTACACAAAGTCCTCTTTCGAATCTTCGAAATAATTCAATGATGTGGCTACTGCTCCTCACTAACTAGGTTTCGACATTTTTTCGATCAATTGTTCTTTACTCGCCTCCTAGATTTCTCTGAATTATTCAGTCATTGAGAGCCTTCGCATTATTGACGCGTCCTATACGGAAGTAACAGCTGTATGCTGCAATTTGTTTCATTATTCGGCTCTTCCGTATCTTTTTCTTAATTTGCATTGAAATATTCAATTCAATTGTGAGTATTTTGTTCAATTTGTAGTCAATCGCATTTTTTTATGTTTTTTTTTTTTTTTTTTTGAAAGTGTTAAGTGAGTACATTTAGTGTAAGTATATATTACATGACAATATTTCTAGATGTGAGATTGATGAAGAATTTTCTTATTTCAATTGCCAGTTGATTATAACCCAGATAGCATTACCTAGTTAGATTTTAGTATACCTGCGCGATGAGTCATGTGACTATTTTGTTTTAAATGAAACGGTCATTCGTCACGTGAGTCCTTTTAGTAAATTAAACATGCAGCTATTCCTTATACGAGCCGAACATTTTGAGTTTTTCCATATCATCAACTGCTATCAAAAACGATCAATGTGACGCTTTCGATATATTGTGGTATGTAAAGTATAAAACGGTGGTTCTAAGTACTGGAAGGTACTGGGATCATCTGCATGGGTCCGCCAGGACACGTTTTTTCTGTACTGATCAAAAAATGCTTAAAATATTGTGTATTAGCTTGCTGCTGTATTGATCTTGCGCCATGTTTCGTTGCTAATCCTTTAATCCAGACATGAGGAGTTGTCTTTGTGTTTGAAAATTTAGTGGAATGACAATATCACAAAAATTGGTTTACCCGTAGTGTAAAGACGGGGCTCAGTGATCGTCGTATTGCAGACCGCATGTACTTTTTAAGACAAACAGCAGACAGTACATTTCGGGAGCAAATTCATTTGCTGGTCAGACAATTGTTTTTTCATGGTGATATGATTTTAATGGGTTTTGGTAAAGCATGGTCTCTACTGACCAGTACACACCTTCATTCCCTTCAAATGATCTTTCTTCGCTATTAAAAAGTAGATTCCAGAGGGATCTAAGCGCCAATCATTGTTTGGTCCAAAATCTTCTTTTCTCTTCTTTATTTTGTTTTTGTGTTTTAAATATTTTGATAACAATATTCAAGTGTCAAATGGATATGTTCACCTTAGAGCCAGATTGATCCCAAAATTCACCATGTCAGACCTGCAGTGTAATCTGCGTATGTATTTGAGAAAAGCCAATTTATATTTTAAGAAAAAATGAAAATCCACGACGAATGCCTATTAGCCACTTTGTTTCCTGATCGAACACGAAATTAAAAGAGCAAAACAAGGGACCAAGTAGAAGTCTAAGAAAGTCCCAAGAAATCAACATTCTTTCTTATTAAAATCCAAGATGGCCGCCTCTCAGCCATTTTGTCATGATCGGTTACAAATCATAAGGTTACAACGAAGGTCAAAGTTTTTTGTCGTTCAACACAACAAGGGACATGAGAAAAACATAATCATCATGCCATTTCTACTAAAAAAAACTGATGATAACAAATTTCAATTATCAAAATATAAGATGACTCCCTATCGTAAATTTTGTTTTCGGATTATACTTAAAACTTCAGAGGCACAACTAGAGCCGAGAAAACCAATGAATTATGTTCGAGAAATATCCTTCCTTTACTTCTCAAAAAATAGCGATAATTAACGTCTATTGTCAAAATCAAAGATGGCCACTTGCCGGCCATTTTGTTTTCTTGGTAAGCCTCAAAATAAAAAAATGGTACAACTAGGGCTCAAGGGGAACCTACACATCCAGATTCAATAATTTCCTTCCAACACGTCTGACGAAAGTAAAAACAGAATTAAAAACTGTCAAGATCAAAGAAATCTAAAAAAAACACGCAGGGACACACCTAAGAACCAAGAGCAAGTGATCAACTTTGAGAAATATCTTTCCATTATTCAAGAAATAGCAATAGCAATGATTGCTTAAAAACGAATCTCAAACAACAAACGAAGAGCGATTTGAACAACCCAATATCAGATGATGGTGGTCTGAATAACATATGGATTGTACTGTCAAGAACCGAATTGTGTTCCTTGCAACCGGCATTTGAATAATTTTCCAGTTCGATTTTTAAATTTTTAACAAATCAGTCGGGATAGGTAAGCTAAATATTATAAACCTGTTTTGCTGTGTTTTTACGTCATGCAGCAATTGAAATTCTCACCTGTCATTAAACTAGAAATTAACTTGAGCTTAGCCACTTGGTCATCGTACGACAGATTGATGATGCTTCCAAACCATACGATTATCTTTGGACCATTCGCAGACCTGAACACAAAATGATATATCATGATTATGTGACTGGTAGTAACATATCTTTAAATATTATATGTTTGATTATACCAACATCACTAAAAAAATCCACTGACACAAAGTATCGCATATTTCTACAATGTTGATGCTTTAGGATAATCAAAACTATGATTTTCGGAATTATTGTCTTCTATTACATGAAGTCACATTAAATTCGTTCGCCTGAAGATTAGATGTCATTATAACTCTCACCTTAGTTTTTCTATTCCGTTTTCATAATTCGCCGCCACTGGAGATAGTGATAATCTGTCACCGTATTCATTAGAAATCTGTTGTACTGTTTTCATCAAAAATTCTGCAAAAAGTTAATATGCTTGTGTATCCACACCCATGTTTCCGCTACAGGTTGTTCTCGCTATGTATCGTTATATACAAGAGCATACAATATTGAGCCAAGAAACATAAATGCAAATGTATAGTGAAAGCCTGCAAGTTATTTTCTCACTGCTCCCAAGAAGACGTTAATACCGGTGACGAATTGACTCACAAACTCATGAAACACGATACAATATATCGCACTACTCAACAAAGACACTTCGCCACCATGAAGAGGAAGTTTTGACCAACACATGTTATAAATAGACCGGCAGCACAGGTCAAGTAGTTTAAAATAGAACTGCTACAAAAGTACATACAGGTAAACAACAGAGATAAGAGCACTAAAACGGCATTCACAAATTGATACGTGTACGAGAATATTCTGGCTTCATACTATTTCCAATACAAAATTATATAGGAGAAATAACAAACATCATGATAACGTACAGTACCTTCTGAAATATCTAGTGGATAAAAAGTTAATCTTTTCTGTCGCAGCAACATTTCGTCAAGGAAATATCTGGTCTTCGAACAGCTTCCACTGCCAAGGTCGATCAATGAGAAATCGTACGGGGCAGAAGGAATGATCTCCTGTAATAAACATTTAACATTGTACAGTTATATTGAAGGACTGTGTGATGCAGTTTAAATCATTGTTTGGCTCTACGCATATATGTCATTGAAAGTTCATGTTCACTTGTGTGTCTTCTGACCAATTATAAGAAATGTAGCTCTCTTGTTCCGTTGTCAATTTACCATTTTTATCATGATAGACTGTCAGTAGTACTGCTTCACCAACGAGTCCTTTAAGGACGAAACAGCTCTATGATTCATTTTAATTCATTGTTTGGCTCTACTAATGTATTTAACTCTGAATTAGAATTAAAAGCTATTTATCACTTATGTGTCTTTTGTACAATTTTCAACGGCATATTTTGATATTCCTTCGAGGGGAAAAGTCTGGAGAAGCATTTTCCTGAATGAGGGGCTAAGGTTATAAAGTCTCTGTCTTTGGCCTAGAGGATTATTCCATATTGTTTGATAAGTATAGATCCATGATACGCCTGTCCGACCCGGTCACATTCCAATCATTCCACTTCAAGATTAACCGAGTTCGTTTCAATCATTTACTGGTATTTCTAATATACATTACAGTGTTATTTTTGGCCAAAAGTTAAAGATGGAAACATGTCACAACTTTAAAAACGAAGAGGATGTCGTTTCCAGGTTCCGATAATGTCATCACAATAGGGCAAATAAGTACTGACACCGCAACACAGTTTTTTGCGTTTTTAAAATCTAAATCGATAAAATCTAAAATATGCAAAAATATCGGCAAAAACAATAATTATTTAAATAAATTGAATTTATAGTGTTAAAGAATTTTTCTAAAAGACAACAAATAAATAGTACATTTCAGAACCAATTCAGAATTCCATTCACTATAATACTGCATCGGAGTGGTGTTTGGTTCTTCAAGGACTTATCAGTGATATTTGTTTATTAAAGTGTTGAATCAAAATCGGACGCTAAGATCAGGAAGTGCACAAATCGTATAACATATGGACCAATTCTCAAAGTGCAATAGTAGGGAGCTAAAATGTGGAGAGCGTGCACAGTGACTTCAGACCTCAGAGTTTAAATACACCAGGTGGGTGTATAAGAGACACGAGTTACAAATGAAATTCGAATATTTCTTAATTTAAAACAATGTTTAGCTACACACACAGCGAATCAAAAAAGTATCATACCTTGGCCTCATTAAAACACCATTGTACATGAACAACACTAAAGCACTATACCTAGCTAAATTATTGATATTTGAAGACAATTGCCTTAACATTGTATCATTACTTATGTCAGAAAAGTAAAACTACATACTGTACACAACATACCAAATGAACTTCAAAGATACGAGATCGCCAAAAGGTATCACAAATGGACTCACAAATAGATTTATGAAAGAATTCAAAACCGTCACCTGACATTTGACTGAGACCTTTAGATAACTTCGCCCAGTATGTGTAACTAATTGTTCACCGAATCGGAGAAGTAAATCTCCTTATTTTGTACACATTATTTGATAATATACTATAAGGTTAAAAGATAATCGATAATTCTATGCATCATTACCTTTATGGAGGTTTCAAGAATAGCTATTTGGCTTCGTCTTAAATAATAACCAGTGTTATTTATCGTACATTTGTCTTCCAATTCGGATCCCAGTTCATCATAATTGTACCAAGTAGGAATGTACTTGGGGTACGATGTCAGGCCCTTTAACAACAGTTGTCTACTTTCGTCATCCATGTTCTGAAGAAAATAAAATTCAGTGCAATTAAGATAATGAAAGGTTATACGATAAAGTATATCAGAAATAAATGCTGAAATCAACATCTTACCATGGCAATCGTACTACACAATATATTCTTTGACTCTAAGTCATTTGTTCCTCTGAACATATCCAGTCACGTGTGCATTGTATAACTTAAACATGTACATATATCATCGACTGTCCAAGCATAGTTTCATTAGTTCATTCACGAAGCGCGACAGCGTGACAAATTCAAGAACCCAATGTCAGGAAAATTTATATATGTATTTGACATACCCATTTCGAGGAAATATTGCTTCCTACGACATCCTGACTACATTATCAAATTTGTCTGACACAGGATGCAATTTGTCACGCGTGTATTGACCCAACAGAGAAAGTATATCTGCATATCTTGAGTTCAAAATTGAGAACTTGTTACTAAATAGGTGATTGATCCCTTGCCCACGTGTGCAGTATATGCCATAAACGAATGTTCTATAATACGACCTTGTATTTTTCCCGAGACATTACGACTGTTCTGGTAAGGTTGTGGCGAGCACACATATTGCGTACCTTCTTAACCTCGCTTTATAATAGTAGGTCAATAGTTCATACATTTTACTCGCGAAATGAGCATTAAAACCGATCGGTTTGCAAATGTCATTCTGCCTTCTTTTTAATTGTAGTCAAAGTAGCTAATTATATAAAAGGGTATTGTCCAAATACACCTGCCATATATATATATATATATATATATATATATATTTTTTTTCTGTATTCGGCAGTCACGGGAAACGGCTGTATTTTAACACGTGCATCAATCGAAAGAACGACTTTCTGGTTCACTTCAATATAACATTAAAAGGTATTAATAACTTTTAAATAAGCGACTTTTTTCTGTAATAAAAATGTTTCTTATGAAAATTCTATAAACTGTTGATAAAGTTGATTTGGAAAAGTTTCAGACACTTTATTCAGCGTTATGTCAACATGAGGTTAACAAGAACTGAACAACAAATTTACCAGGCTGATAGTACCTGAATATTAAATAAGGTTTCAAGATAAAAGAATACCTGGTAAAAGTGAGTTACTTTGTCTTTATATTCTGAACCAAAATACAGCTTATGTTTCAGACACTGACCATGTATTCGCTACATATTCAAATGCAATGGCTTTCTGTTTCATCTTGGGGTTAAAGTTATCTATATATCTGTTTTGGTTTTGTTTTGCATACCAAGGCTTTCGAAGTTTGTTTGTTTTTCGGGTTTGGGTTTTTTTCATATGCAATAAAAATACAAAACAGACCTTACAATATGGCCTAATATATAAATACTTTATCGATAATTAGAATGAAAATAATAAAATTCTTTTATTTGGTTTCATTGCTGATTTCGTATAATTTCAATGATAATCTTAATGATAGGTTGATAAAAGTAGTTTCATTACAACAAAATGTTTAGTTATGTTGAATATATGCTTTCTACCTGTAGAATAGAAATAACATTTTATTTCTACAATTATCATCTCAATTTAAGACATATTTAAAGTATTCCACTGAAGAAACAATACATGTAAATACATATGACCAGTTATATTGTAAAATGTATAGAATATGTAACCTATCATTGGTATTACTGTCACTTAGTATAACAACCATCTCGGGTTCTCATCTTTAAAATCGTATTTGCGTTTGCATCGAAATGTAGCATACATCGTATTGTAAATGAGTATAATTACACACATTAGTGATGATCAAGTGAAAAGTGCAGTTACCGTTAATGACACAATTTAATACAGGTACAGAAGATAAACAGCAATCCAAACCCACTGTATCTATATTTGATCGTCATAGAACAAATCGCTCCACACACGTCAGTAGCTAAACATATTCACGTCATTTGAACAGCAGCGAGTTCAACTGGAAAGCCATTGTGTACCGGAAGTAGTAGGAGTGTCAACTGGGCATCAATGATAACGCCACAACAAAGACAGTTTCAAGAAAAAAATTAAATCTCAGATTTTTGTTTTCTTGTGTTTAAAACAGTGTTTAGATACTGCATTGTTGGTAATATTCGAGGAGGATGGCGTGGTCGAATCTCGCAGTAGTAACACCCGCCTTTCACCTGAGACACCCTAAGTTCGATTCCCGGAACGAACGTAAAAGATATGGGGTTTATCTGCCCGACCACTTGGGTTCTCCATGGCCACTCTGCTTTCCTCCCAAAGTTAGACCTGTCATGCACTTCCATTCGAGCCAACAAGAGTGATAAGTATAAGCTCATAGCTTGTTTCGCAATTGTTGTGAAATAAAGTTTAATATTATTTAATTATCGAGGAGGATTTGATGACGATATATTTGCGGTCAGTAAAGACATTGTATGAAAATTTCTGAAAATATCTGTTGTCTTTATACATGAACACCAGTTTATAATAATACGCGAAATCTAATATCCATGAACTATCAGCCCCGCGAAATTAAGCTATCATACAGTACCATTGCGCAAAATCGCGAATTTACCCAAGCTTAGTCGTCATACTCAATATCGCAAAAAGCAAACATCGGGCTAGATACGCTTTATAAAGAGGCCATGCAGCCCATATGTATTTATCATCCTTGAAACAACTACAGTGTATAATTATTAGTACACAAGAAGTAAATGCCACCGAAAAAGCTTTCTTGATATCTGATTCGCATCATATTGATTATCATTCACTTGCCCCTAAGACATATCACAGTTGTTGAAATGCTTTTGGTAATAAAATAATCTTTACCATGATTTGAACAAATACTGATATAACTATATTGACTATATAATTGTTGTAAGACATCAAACTATTAATGATTTCAAATTATTCACACTATACATCTTTTTAAAGTAAAAAGATAAAAAAAATTCAAATAGGGTGCAGTAAATTTCCATCAAGAGACAACAAACAGATCAAATTGAGACAAATTTCTGCGATTCTTGCAAAAAAAAATTTGAGAAAAACTTACTTATTATCTTAATTAATACTTAAACTTGAAACTATAAAGCATTATTTACCTTGCTCATTTATCAGTACCTGCTGGAAATGATGCGTGCGGAATGAAATATCAATGTGACCAATCTCTAGATAAGGGCAAGCCCTACTCCTTGACACGTGCTTATTTCGTTTTATCAGATGTCCGGTAGCTTCAGCTTACTGACCCCTTCATAGCTGATATATACAACGGATTCTACAGAGTTGAAATATTAACCTTAAAAACAAGTTCCCGCTGGTTAATCAAATTATAAACGAGGTTATAAAAGAATTAAAGGAGCATGGAGAGAAGTCGGCGGGAATGATTTGTTTTAATCATGGTCTCTTCTGACAAGACCCATGAAGGATAGGTTCTGTGTTTGAGAGTGGTCCTGAACAATCGATCGGCAGAGGAAGACACAGAGGACATCATGAAAGATCTCATCTACAAAGAATTAGACATCGAGTTTGATATCAAATTTAATGTTTTCCAACGGTTCATATTCATATTCTTTATTCATCTTGAGCAATTCATCTCATCGACATATAACAAAGCAATATAATTATATTAATATTAATACAAGTCAGCTTCGTGTGAAAATACACACACAAGTAATTAATGTAATTAATATATATGCATAATCTAATAATTAATAAATGTGCACATATCGTAATTTGTGCTTCTATAATCAATATAGCACAATTTAATTATTCATGGCCACATCTTTACAAAAAAGACATTGAACAATATTACATTACAATAGACTATTTATTAGCCATCAAAGTGGATCGCAGTAAATTTGCATAGTAAATGAACTTTCCTAGTTTATTTGATTCTTTAGAATTTCCGGAAGATAACAATAGGATTTATTTATAGACAGAGGGGTTCCTACGATAGTATGTCTTGATATATTTACATCTTAACTCTGAGAAGAAGTGACATTTCAGAATAAAATGAAATTTATCCTCTACGTCGGACTTACACAACTTAAGTTACGGGGGATTTTTCGGTGTCTTCCAGCTTCTATTAACAGGTTGTGTGAAGACAGACGAAATTTTACAATTTCCTTTTTATATTTAAGGGGAAAGCATTAACTTAAATAAGGTTGTAAGCAGACATGATCAACAATATGTTTATAAAACAGACACTTCGGTGTAGTGTCGAAAAAAGCTTCACAATCCTGTTTAAAAATATCAGTGAGCTTCTGCCTTGCTAAAGCAAGAAACTGTTGAGTGTTTAAACTATTTTGCGACAGCCAATAATTAGCCATACCGAGAGAACCAAGTTCGTGTTTAATAGGCATAACCCAATATTTACAATGTGGGTTTGCTTCACACTCCCGATACATATCTTGATAACATGCTTTTAAAAAACAATTGTTTGTACTTAATAGCTTACACCAATATTTCAAAACTTTTCTAGAAATTAAAAGAGGAAATCTACCAAGTTCGAAATATATCATTGCGTTTGGAGTGGCTCTACTCACTCCTAAAATATTTTTACAAAAATCAAGATGGAGTTGTTCAATATCCGGTGCTTTGTGAAAGCCCTACACCTCACAGGCATAGTTAGCTACACTGCCAACGTTAGTATCAAAAAGTAACAACAAGGTACAAAAAATCAACAACATAAACTTACAGGCTCGCTTAAGCGAAAAAAGCGCCTTTCTACCCTGTGACGGTTACGTCCTATGTCAGACCGAAAGCCTATAACTATTGTGGCAAGATGGTGCTAACATTAGTCCCTTTCAAACGGAAATTTAATGTCAACAAACAGTTTCCTTCTGACAAAACGGCCGTCGTTAAAAGCTTACCGCTATTAAGTGGTATATTTCACCGTTACCCGCACAGTCGTCAGAACTCCAACATACTCGTCCACCTTTGTAACATCGATCGACTTATCAACAACGTCTCTAGTCACCCTAACAAGACCCATTCGCCCAACACTGCTCCGCCTGGAGCAACTGGTCGACGTTGTTAGGGACACACAACA